ACCACCATACTGATTTGCCCCAGTGTTCTGGGACCAACTGAGGTCTTACAAATGGTATAGTTCAAGGTCGAGCATAGAGCCCAACTGCAGGCAAGTGAATCAGGGCTTCCAGCACTCCGCCTTGCTCCTGCTTCATACATGCCAGGAGATGGTGAGAAGTGACGCTTCCTCTGTGCGGTAATAACAAGCAAGCCCGAGGCACTCAAATGCAGGTGTGGGGCCCGCTGGCCAGCCAGCCAGCCACCAAGAGTTCTTCACGTCCTGGACTCCAGCAAGTCCTCCTCCTAAAAAAGCTTCCATTTTTCCTCCTCCTGGGTCCAGAGTGGCCATGCTGAAGGGTATTTTCTGTGCTCTCCCTGAACAAGTGTGAATAAAAGCAGCAAGCCAGCCCCTCACCAACATGTCCTGATTTGTATTATCCAAGTGAGGTATTTGGAAAAAAAAAAGGAAAATCTTAAGAAATTAACATCTGCCATCTCTTCACTCCTGCCTAGGTTGTGCTTCAGTCACAGAACTTGCTTTCATCCCACTATCTGCAGAGATTAAGGATGTCTGCACTCATCTGGATGAGATATAGGACTCGACAGACATTACAAAACTTTCTCGGAGACCAGTCTCAGCAAACACTGGTGGCGCAAACACAGGTGGCGCCGCTGATCAACAGCACGTGGAAATGTAAACTTCAATTGTATTTACAAGCTTGTTTAAACGACTGAAGAAAAACAGTGCTTTATATTGCTGGGATTTTGAGAAGGCTAGTTTATGAGATTTGGACCGGCTAATGAGTTCAAGCAAACACCTTTCACCATCAGATCCAGTGTTTCCCCACCAACAGTTTCCAGACAGAGGCAGCAAAATTGTTTGTACGCATATTGTGCCTGTCTCCTTCCCCAGTACCTTCCTCAGCCACATGGAGCATCGCTCTAGGCCTTCTATCCCCTTTTCCATCTCCCTCATTCCTGAAGTGCAGGAAAGAGAATACAGTCAGTGAAATTCGGGCTGGGAAACACTGGCTGGAACTATCAAGACTATATGTAACTGTTGTCCATTCACAAAGTATTATCTACACTACATACAGAATACATTTTCTCCTACATTTTCACTGATGCTTGCTTTAGATCAACTCCTTTTGTCTGGACAAGAAAGGAATCCCATCTCCCTGTGAGTGGAATCCAGAATCTACTAAGAAAAATCAACCTTTCCAACAAGTTTTAGTTTAATAAAAGGAAGGAAAACCCACCAAGTACATTTTAGATCGAAAGAGAAGCGAAAATTTGCACTGTAAGTAATTGTGTGAGTAACCTTGATTCCCAGGGAAAAAAAATGTTTGAATGCTGGTAAGTTTTTTGCAAGTTGCAGCATCACTCAATGAACCTTAAGGACTGGCGAAGCCTTTCCAATAAGGAAGCATCCTGGTTCTAGCTTATTTTAAAACAAAGTGACAGGACATCAATCGTGACTATAAAATAGGTAAAAACAATTCTTTAAAAAGGCATGGAAATATATGTCTTTTCTGACCAGTTTCAGAAATTGCCAGGTTATGATATATAAGAAATAGCTGATAAAATCATACTGAAATCTCATCTAGAAAACTACATTGTTGGGGAAGAGGAGGGACCTTAAAAAATGTTTATTGCCAAAGTTAACTTTCTATGAGAAAAGTTTAAAAATCATTTAGATCTAACAAACCACACAGCAGCATAAAATGGGCACTTTTTGAAAACTTGGAAAAATACTAAAAGCTAATTTTTTTTTTTTTCCAAATAGGGGAAAACATGAGTACTTTTGCCATGGCAGTGTTATCTGTCACTGTGACATGCATTACATTTGTTTATGTCACACATTCACAAAAGTCAACCAAATAAGAGAACTGCCTATGTGAATCTGCAGCCAAATATAGTGCAATTGCCTGGCAGCCTGTACTTGCACCAGCACAAGTCTGCAGAGATCAATAAGATAAAGTAGTAAAACTAATAAAACTCTGTAAAACTTTAAAAAATTAATGCTCGTTAAAGGCATTTACAGTGGCAAAGTCAGAAATCTTCATTAAAAAAGTCTATGGACCCACACAATTAAATAGTTACACTGAACTGAAGTAGATTGTTTGGTTTTTCTCTCCCACTTATGCATACACCCCACTCAATGAACACAGAAAAAAGGAATAATCTTCTCTTATAAGACTAGAGGGATGCGGTGAACACCACAGCTAGCAAAATATTCCGTAGAAACCTTTCTTGTAAAGTCCTTTTAGAAAGTTCAGGCTGATCAGCCTTTGAACATTGAGGTAAAAATTCAGTCCAGTGCATCAGAAAAGATAATTTATGAGTATCTATTACTTTAAAAAAATGGCTCAATTTTGTTGATGCATCAGACAGTGCTGCAAAGTATAGATTCAGTGCAACTATTCCGAGCTGCTGGTAGAAGACCACCTGAAGTCAACTTGGCTCTAGAGGCGGTAGGCATTTGAAACATTTTGAGGCTGCATGGGGTGCCAAAGTGGTTGAGTTCTTTTTCTGAGACTCTCAGGCAAAATACATCGTGTGCTGGGTATCATGGTGGATCTGTACAGCCTTAGCCAAGGCCTGAGGATCCCGGCCATTGCTCTGTCCTGACACATGACTGCCTTCCGCACTGTAAAGAAAATAAAGGAAAAAACCAGATTATGTCACAAGATCACTTCAAACTTCACGTGGTTCAAATAGCACAAACAGTACTGGATTCAAGAAGATATTAGGCTCAAGTTTTGGCTCCTTATTTATCATGTCTTTAATCATCAGTTTACTTAACTGAAAAATGCAATATGATTTATTTACTGGACTGTTGCAAGAATTAAATAAAATAATGCCCACAGACTCGGTGCCTTAGCTCAGCAGCTGGGGTGCCAGCTATATACACCAGAACTGGTGGGTTCAAATCCAGCCCAAGCCTGACAAACAACAGTGACAACTACAACCAAAAAACAGCTGGACATTGTGGCAGACGCCTGTAGTCCCAGCTACTTGGGAGGCTGCGGCAAGAGAATCGCTTTAGCCCAGGAGTTTGAGGTTGCTATGAGCTGTGATGCCACAGCACTCTACTCAGGGCAACATAGTGAGATTCTGTCTTGAAAATAAATAAATAAATAAATAATGCCTGCAAAGACCCAAATCTGTAACAGCTATACCTATATGGGTCTTCCACTGCCCATTATGTCTGGCTAATTTGTACTTTCTACTTGTCCATTAGACTTTAATCAAATATCATTTTTCCCACAGGCATCTTCCAAAGTTTAGGTCAGAACCATGCTTTCATAGAATCCTGTATTTTTCCTTCATGGTACCAAACACAACTGAAATTAAATTATTAACTAGGTAATTATTGATTTCTCCACTGGGATATAAACTCCACGAAAGCAGCAATTTCGCCCATCTTACTCAGCACTGTATCCTTAGTGATTAGCACATGAAAGTCTCAATGATCATTTATTGAATAAAGGATCTATATTCCTGGCACAGTGCTGGAACATAGGAGATACCCAGAAAATGTTGCTGTGCCACCAGTCTCTTCTTGCTTTCCCCTCACTAACTACATAACCATGGACAAGTAACAACTCCTCTGAACTTTAATCTTTTGGGAGTAACAACAACTTCTAAACACACCTCTTAAAGATACCATGTGATATAAAGGGTTTGGCAAATTGTGAATCACCATCCCTCTACTGACTTCTCTCTTCGATGATTATTATTCTTATTACCCAAGCTCGATATCTTAGCCATCTTTCACTTCATTCTCTCCTCTGCCCTTTACACCCAGTTAACTATTGAGTCCTGTCTATTCTATTGCAGGGCTAGCTTTTTATATTTAACAAAGACAATTTTGTTCTAACATACTTCTCTAGCCTCCTGCCTGCTGCTCCCCTTTACGATGCTCCAGCCAAAGAACACTTGCCATTGTACAAACATGCCACTTGCTTTCTTTTCTTTTTTCTTTTTGGCCATTGTCTCTCTGACTAGAAAATTCTTTTCTCTTCTTTGTAGAGTGAAATTCTACCCATCCAACTATGAAATCTCGTCAAATAGCCTTTCCCCCTGATGTCCCATTGCACTTTAATCCACACTGATGTGGGCTAGTTGTCAGTTGTGCATTTGCCTATATTGTCTCCTATACTAAAACATAAAAATTCCTATGGACAGGCAACATGTCTTGCTCATCTTCCAGCACAGTCTTGGGCACACAGTCAATACCCAATAAATATGTTGAATGTACATTACAGAATGGAATGTACAAAGCCACAGCTGGGCACTTTCCATAATTGTGTATTTTCAACCCTTACAGAAATAGACTTGCAGTGGAATGTCTACTATTTAAGCAGCTGAATTCAGACTTGGGCAAGAGCCCAGGAACTGCTACACTTCACAGATGGTCATTTGGAAAAGAAAATTAATGCAGAGAGCTCGTTTAGCTATTTAATAGTAGCTCAGTAACAGGTCAAAATGTCTGATTCTCTGATTCTCTGATCTGGAGATTCCTATTTGGGAGTGAGAATGGTCTGGCCCCCCTCCCACACACACAGATCCAGGTTCACAGTGGTGCATTTTCCAGATTGCACTGAAAGCAAAGTGAACTAATCAGGACTTCCCCTTGCATGAAGTGGAATCCACAGGCTTGTGACTGCGTTGACTGAAGCCAGGGAGCTGTACTGGCCACCTTTTGGGGTTGTTTAGGACTTGAGCAGAACTGAAATGCATTTGGCTCTATGGGAAAACCACAGGCAGCTCTAAATTAGACTCCGTTAGAGGCTCAATACAAGTATAAACAAGCCCAAGCACTTCTTGGACCAAAAGTCACATTATAAGCTTCAAAGGCACATGCAATTTTATTTGTGCCTTGCAATTTAAACCCTAAAATGAAGTTTAAATCCTTACAAAAGTTTTCTCTAGTAGCTCATTTTTTTTTTTTTTAACATGCTGATAAAACAGAAGGAGACTTCACCATGCTTGAGAAACTTGCCTGTCATGATCTTTATCCACCAGATGATACCGTGCCCTAAATGCTACGAGCCGGGCATAATATGCAGGGGCTGGAATAGAGACTGAGCGTGTGCACCTCACATAGGTATGACACAGCTGGTAAGTCAGTAGCTGGAGCTCATCTGCAGTGAAGCAGTTGTCATCCCACAAGACCTGGTAATGTGAAGGACGGCTGGTTCCCTGAAGAGAAGGAGTTTCGTGATTAATACATTTCCAAAATGGACTGACTACCTGAGAGGAGAGAAGAATTGAAACCTACTCCTTAAACACAGAAGTATTTCTGCCTAGCACACTTACAAGCAGGTACCTAGACCAACAGATAATAGTTCTAGGGTACAAACATTAACGAAGCTGAGTAGGGTGTATAATAACAAGTCCACTCAAGCTAGTTGCTGAATTTGCAAATATCTCCCTATCAAATCAAAGTGCTGGGCCAGCTTCCAAATTACCTGAATTCCTGCATGACTACAGAGGTAAAAGTCAAACTCAGAGGGATGTGTGATGGTGCTATCCACTGTAGTGCCTGCTGGTACATTGCCACTTTTCCCCACCTACCAAAGAAAGAAGTGTAATTAGTCATCAACATGCCAAACTGTGCTCAGGTTTGGTTTTTTTTTTTTTTTTCTTTTGAGGGTTAATTGGTATCAAGTTGGTAAACAGTTCCTAAGTGAAGTCCTGAAAACCGCTTTCGTTCAGAATGTCGAATTCCCTATAACTTTTCCTTAGCCCAACCATTTCAACCCAAAGTATTTTCTCAGCCAAATATACTCCAGGGGTTTCTCCAGGGGAATCCAGACAAGAATTATTTTATGTGTGACTTTGTGCTGCAATATTATCCACTTACATATGACACAATGGTATGTTCACAGAGGGGGAAAAAATTAACATTTCAGTTTTTATTCCTTACTTGGAGTCAAAAATAAATATCTACAACTGTCAGTAAAAGTTAAGATGAAGGAATCTTTGAACTGGCTCACCAGGTTCAACGTAACTAATACATTATTAATAAAAGAAATTACTGTCAAGTAGTCATCAGGAAGAGGACACTGAAATGGGAATTAAGAAACCAGTTTCAGATCTAGGCCTGGTCCTGCAGCTATATACCTTGAACAAAGCACAATACCTTTGCACTTCAATTTAAATCATCTATACAATCAGGTGATGATCTCTTAACACTGTTAAAATTCTGAGCCAGAACTCTACAGCCAAACTTGTAGGAGAGCAGAAAGGGGGGACCTCAGAAAATGCATTTATAAGGAAAGGAATTAAATTTTGCTATTGAGTTACCCTCTTCTGCTGTACAGCAAGGTTCAAGAGGAAGAAGTTTATTTAGTGTTTAGATACAAATTTGACGGAAGTTCATTTGACCCCATTCTAACTATTGCTACCTTCAGTTAAAGATCATACACCAACGTATACAATAACTCTAGGATTACAGAAAAATCCCCTTTCCTCAAATTCATATGCAAACTTGAGTTCCTAGCTGGACCTGAGGAAATGTAATTGAGTTATAAAGGTTCTAGCATTTTTTCCCAAAGTATGTCCTTTAGGAATATTTGTTTTGCAGGATATATTTAGCCGTCTGATGGTTGAACAAATTTGATAAACACTGGGTTAAACCCAGGGTAAAAAGTCGTTTCTACTGTATGACTTCTCAAAACTTTTATTTAGTCATGTATAATTTTTTTTTTTTTTAAGAGACAGAGTCTCATTTTGTCGCCCTCAGTAGAGTGCCATGGCGTCACAGCTCACAGCAACCCTCCAGTTCTTGGACTTAGGTGATTCTCTTGCATCAGCCTCCGGAGTAGCTGGGACTACAGGCACCTGCCACAATGCCCAGCTATTTTTTGTTGCAGTTTGGCTGGGGCGGGGTTCAAACCCTCCACTCTTGGTATATGGGGCCAGCATTTTACTCACTGAGCCACCCTAGTTGTGTATAATTTTTAAGAGATAGAGAATATAGCATTTCCCAAATTTATTTGACCCTTAAGAAAAAATAGCTCTCAAAAGAAAAAAAAAAAAACAGCTCTCCAGTTCTAGAGATGACAGCCTAAAACAATGATACCTTGGGGGAAGAGGAACTCAGGCATGCTCAGTTCAACAATTATTACTTGAACACCCATGTACGTGCAGATGCTGAGGATAAGAGCCAGAGGCACAGAGAAAACTAACAAATTTTTTGGCCTGCTTTCATAAAAACTATATACAGTGAACTGTAATTTGAGGTGATAAGGGCATATGGAAAGCATAGGGAAAAGCTGGTGGGGAGGAAATAGTTGAGCCATGCCTCACAGGAGTTAGAAAGAGGAAGATAACAACTGGAAACACTCCAGATAGCCCTAAACTCAGGAATAGATAAGCAAACTGTGGCTCATCCGTATCACAAAATACTACTCAGCAATACAAAGGAACAAATCACGGATACAGTAACTTGGATGAATCTCAAATGCATTATGCAAATGAATATAAACTAGATTCAAAGGCTGTATGATTCTATTTATATGACACTCTAGAAAAGGAAAAACTATAAGGACAGAATGCATATTAGTAAATTCCAGGGGCTAAGGGTGAGGGAGTTCCTAAGTGAAGTCCTGAAAACCGCTTTCGTT